CAGAAGCCCATTTCTCTCCTTGTTCAATAAATAGTACAGTCAAATAGCTGGCTTTTGCCTAGAGGAAGTTATCCTGAGGTCTTCACGGTTGCCCATCCGTGGGTTGTGGTATGTTTTAATGTTTCCTAACACTTACACTACATTCTCTTTGGCGTTTACAACATTCTAGAGGACTCTTTCCCTGTTTGAGTGCCCCTCTACGCCTGCCTTAGGCTGTTATCAAAGGAGGTAGAAGATTAGTTAGAAATTTCTACGTTGAAGGAAAACATTACTTTCTAACCTATTAGCATAAACAGCGTTATACAAACACTGCTTCAGGATGTGTTTCTTAGAAAAACTGAAACACAGAGCTACAGTTGTATTTCAGGCTAGTGAATGTGTATTCCTCTCCCTGAATTCTAATCGCCCCTTGTCTGCCTGACCCTGACCCTTCTGAGACCTTTGCCCTTTGGGGAGTGTTCTTACCACTTTCTATTTTATCATTGGGAAGGTCCCATTGTCTTTGTTGAACTCTGCTGCATCCTGTTTGTATCACAAAGAGAAAAACTGCTGCCCCCTCACTCCCCACCTTTCTCCACGTGGGGATAATAAAGCCCTTGGCAACCATGTACCCTGTAATCAGTACCAGGTAATTTTATAGGCTCCTTTGAAAGGGCTATTTGTTAAATGCCCACTTTGCGACAGGCATTTGCTGATGGTTTTATGGGTCTTGCCTCATTTAAATCTTAGGAAGGAGGAGAAATGAAACAGAAAGCATCCCTCCCACCATTTACCAAAGGAAGTTGCTGGTCCCTGGGTAACGTGCGTGAACTTGACATATGATAGCCTCAAATGAAGTTCTACAGACAGTTTTGGGGTGTGGAACCTGCCTTAGATACAGATGTTTTAGCAAGTGTTTGTATACATACAAAACAAAAACATTTCAGAGCTATTTAGATGGGTGTTGTAAGTGGAGGTTTACACTAGTTTCTTGGCAGATTCACACGGGATCACGTGCGGAGGGTTCCAGGGGTCCAGGACATGGATTTTGTGCTCCACGCCGTGTGAACGGCTTTCCTGTTTCTTCCCTCCGCCAGAGTTCACCAGTGGGCTGAAGAGGCCACCGCGTCTTTCAGCTTAAAGTGAACACTTCTGTGGGAATGAACCTCCTTCCACGGCTGTAAAAAGAAAAGTGCTCTAGTTCTAAGGCATTCTTATAATGTTGCGCGGCGCGTTATATTGTGTGGACATGGCACATTCTCTCAGATTTCTAACATTTCTGAACTTCTTTAATTTTGCAAAATTCTTGGTTCCAAGTCTTTAGGTTAAGTTTTTAAAAATATTGAACTCAAATTATTTCCTTTAATTTGTGCTTTTGATGTTTCCTCTATGAGGCCACTATTTCCTTTTTGATTATTCTTTGAGTCTTGCAATGCTGAAGAGATTGTTGTTACCTAATTAACAAGTGATGCTGGGCTGATTTCTGGGTAGAAAACCCCCTGAAACCTATTTGTTAGTGGTGTACACAGCTCTAATGTTAGAAAATGAGCAGGCCGAGGGGTGGGGAGCTGGGGCAGGAGGGCAGGCCAGGGTGGATAGCTCCGAGATTGCTGGATTCCCACTTGCTGGAAAATGTGGGGGGCTTGCCCAGGGCTCCACCCATGCTGATGCTAGTGATTACGTCTGCATATTTTTAAAAGATATTTCAAGATGATGGAGATTGCATCCGCTGCTGTCTGCCATGCCATTTAAAGGTATTCAAGAATTTTATACAAAACACATTGTGGCATCTTACACCAACGAGGTCATGTGAATTGGGTACTTTTGGTTTATGTTTAAGTTTAATCTGGTAACTCTACCTTGTGTTGCTCTTTTTTTTGCTGAGAGCTTTGTAAGGGTTCAGTTATCTCTTAATCTTAGTGAGCCATTGCGGAACAAATGAAGCAACATTAATAATAGAATCTTACATTTATAGTAGGGCTGTAAAGTTCATTGAGTACTTTCACACCGGCTGTTTTTTGTGCGTACCTCAGGAGCCCTGTGCATTAGGTATGGCAGGTATTATTGACACTTTTATTATACAATAAATTGAGAATCAGGTCAAATATATTACTAGCTCCAGACTAGTTGGTTTTTTTCCCTAAGAGGCAGAGAAAATTACTCATATGCATATGCACATGCACGCACACCTCCATCAACCCAAGCGATTTTATGGAAGTCTGTGTGCCCTGTGTCCGCACCCCCTGGCCTACCCCATCAACCTAAGTAGTCCTGCAATAGCAGTTCCCATGCAGGAACAGGTTGGTTATTTACTGTAATGGGAAATGAGATGCCACCTGTGGGAGGTTGCTAACGAGGGCCATAAAACTAAGGCCCTCTTCAGCAACCAGAAGGGGCTTTTGAAACCTAAGGCTTTGTATTTTAGACAGAGTGGGCGGAAGCTTGTTCATCTGGCCATTGTCACTTCCCCTCTCCCTCACCTTTCCATATCCCCACCTAACGGAGTATTAAGCCTGTCGATTCTGATGTTTCCTTTGAGGTCTCCAATTACCATACAGGCCAGTTGCAGATTCTCAGTCTCTCAGCACACTGGCTTTGTGCTGGTCTTTTCGCCGTTTTGTTCACATCACCTTTCACGTGGTGTAGGAGTTTAAAACACTCTACAAGTTTGATGTTTTCCGTGAGATGAAGCCCATACTCCTTAGCCTGGCACATAGCTCTCCGCCGGCCCTGACTTTCGCAAACCGCTCCATTTTCATTCAACTGTCCGGGCCACAGGTTCCCTTGGAGGGTAGTCGACCCCTCAGCATTTCCCTCCTCTGCCTGTGGATCCCCTTGGCTCTGTTTGGAATGTTCCTTCCCTCTGAGGATTTCAACCCCTTTGACAAAGTGCTGAATTAGGATTGGTTCCTTCAAAGTTGGCTCGTAAGTTCTCCTTTGGAAAACTTTCTGGCCTTCCCCTGTGACGTTGGCCACAGGCATCTGTGTGTCCTACCACACCTGTCCATAGTTCCATTGTGAAACTTTAACACAGGATGGGTGCCTGTCACCCCCACTGGACTGTGAGCTGTCGAAGGGGAGGGTCTGAGTCTTAGCGCCCAGCAGTGCAACCTGCCAGGAAGCCTGGGTTGGCTGAATGCGTGGCTTTGCCTCACAGTAACTGCAGCGTCAGCTCTCAGTCGCAGCACACCCACTTTCCTTCCTAGCTCCCCGAGACACCACCACCACCGATCAGGAGCCCTACTGCGGTGGGTTAGAGTTTAGGAAAAATATTTCCTCTGTCAAAGGAGCACTTCCTGAGGAACTCAACTAGAAATTTGAACTGACGGAGAACCTAATTTTTCTCTTTTCTTTTGATACACAGAGGTCACAAATGTAGACTGCAGGTTAGTGTTCATTTCTCCATAAAAGTTAGTGTTTTTGCTGTGCTAAAACAATGTAGAGTTTGGTTACTGGCCTAATATACAGGACAGTCAGAAACAGTTTGCATTAAATTGGGAGCCCTTTTTAGGGGAATAACTGTAAACAACCTCTATATTTGTGCTTAAAAAAATTTGTATAGTGTCTTTGTAGCTGCTAATATATAGGAAATAACTTTTAGGGCTTGTAAGATATGTTGCCAGGGTCTAGTTATTTGGTTTTCACACACACGTGCCAAGTTGTGGTCCCTGTGTCATATTGTATTTGTGATGGTCTCTTACCCGCCTATTAGCAGTAAGAAAGTGTCTGTTTTCCCTGCTGTGTAAAATACTTATACAGCTACATCAATAGGTTCTAAACCATAAAGTAGTAATTAGTTTTCTATAGCCTTGTGTATTTATGTGGATGAGGGTCAATCAGTAGAATTTGTAAAATTATAAACTATAGAAAAAAGTCATTATTTCTTCTAAGTTTTCAAATTTCCTTTAAAAATTGTTGTAATTTTTTATTATTTATGCCATTCTAACAATAAATAAGTGAGATTTAAAAAGAGGTGAAGGCCATCACTTAATTTTATAATTACTTTAACTGAGAATAATAGAATGAGCTTGTATAGTATCATCAAGATTGTGGCTAAAATGGATATCAGAGTTGATAGAATTTTATTTTCTTGACACACCTTTGAAAGATGAGAATGATCATAAATATTAACACTGCAACCAAAAGAAATTTTTTGTGTGAAAGTCATACGTTTTTTGTGCGAAAATTAAAATAATATTTGGGTTTTCTATATCATTACTCCTTTATAAAAGAATATTGGGAATTGACCTTTGTTATAGGTTGTAGTCCACTCCACAAACATGCAGAATCATTAATTATAGAAGAATTCTTTGGTCAAGCTTCTATTTTCCTCATTAAAATGAAAAATATCTTTTGCTTTTTTTGACTTAGTGATATCATTAATTGTATTATTCCACTCTGATATCCTACCTTGATATGGAGTAGAAGAGTTAGGACTATAATCTTGGTTTAGTTTTTGTTTGTTTGTTTTTGCTTTTTCCCCCTTATAACATACTGTGTCTCAGATTTTCATACTATATTCATCCCAGGTACATGGAAACTTGGGGAATGAATGACCAAAAGGTGATTGCTGTAACTGCTCTCATTGTTTCCATTTTTTTGCCTTGCTTTGCTGTCAAAGACACATATCATGAATAAGTAATTGATTATGCAGGGTCAGATAAGGCAATGAAAGTCACTAATGTCATTCTATTCAATTTTTGAGACCAGATATTCCATTAAAATTAAAAGGTGCTTCTAATATAATGGTTACTTTTTTTCATATTTCTTTATAAATTATGCTAGCTAAGTATCCTTGGAGAAACTTACGGTAATGAAGAATGGAGTATTTTCACAGTCTAAAGGAATATTCGAAAGAGGGTGTTGTAGAGGGAATTTAAGAGTCGGCTGGAGGATGGGCTAGATGACTTTCAAATGTTCTTTATTCTTGGGGATTTCAAGATTCCAGTGCTAGGCTAAAGGGAAGTCTAAGAAGTGCTGGTCCCCTTACTTACAGTGTTTTCTTTGTTGTTTTGGTATAGACTGCCTCTTCAAGGTGTGTCCCATGAATCGATATTCCGCCCAGAAACAATATTGGAAAGCTAAGCAAGCCAAACAAGGGAACCACACAGAGGCAGCCTTGCTGAAGAAATTGCAGGTGAGAGCCAGGCTTCTATTTGTTTGCCTTAGGCTAGGCCAGGTACAGCAACAACACATCTGGTTCGTAGCCTCGTGGTCTCCCTCAATACACAGAGATTTAGAATCGTTGTAGCAACACACTGAAACTGGGAGAGACTTTTTAAGTTATGGGGTGTGACTACCGATTTCCTGGTGTGTAGGTGATACATGCTTGCTGTTCTTTAGGGTGTGTCAGACTAATTCAGAGATTCACATCAATCTGTTCAGAATGTCTGTAGGAGTATCAAATCCAGTTATATTTTACTTGGCATAGTAAATACTTAATTTTTTTTTGAAAGGCTGGAAAAAGAAATAAAACCTGATGTTTCTAACTTGGGCTGAGTGTAAATTTGATAGAGCTTAATTTGTGTCATTAAAATTTGTTACTTTCAGAATTGGAACTATATTTTGAGACTTTTAGAATTCATCTAATATTCTGGTTGGTTTTTCTGCCAGTATTTTTTCTGAAAGTAATGATAAGACCATAGAGCCTATTACTTTTCTGAAATTTCCAATATAAAAGCATCTCAAGATATTTGTTAGCATTAAATTGAGAGAATTATCACATTATATTATAATCATGTATTTAATTATTGTCCCTCCTGCCCACTGCAAGCACCAAGAGTAAAGCAACTAACCTATTTTATTCATGATTGTATTCTTTATTCTCTTTGTTCCTAAAAAAGACCACCCTTATTTCTTTGTCAATTACTATATTCTGTTTACTATGTTTCTACACTGAATATTTGATACTCATTTTATAGCATGCCGCAGAACTGGAACAAAAACAAAATGAATCAGAAAATAAGAAACTTCTGGGAGAAATCGTGAAATACAGTAATGTTATTCAAGTAAGTGTTGATTTACTTGCTCTTAAAAAAGGTGAATGTTTTATGGACAATTTGCAAATAGCATTAAAATTTTGGGACATAATAGTTTGTACTTTGGTGGTAATGGTAAATGTTGTGATATTTCCAGTTCATGTTCAGCACATTATTCCATGAACTTGGGAGTAAGTCTGTTGTGTACACATAAAGAAGTGAGCTTCTCTGGACGTATGCACAAGTTATTGTATCCGAAGGAAGAATACGGGGGAACAATTTCTAAAGGCCTGTAACAAAATAGTCCTTTGGTATTGATGGGACTAACGGCCCTTTATCTTTTCATTTTTGTAGAGAGAGGAAGGTTTTTAAACTGTACTTTGAGGCAGAAATCGCCCTTGACTTGTTATTAGAAGATCTATTTCAGTTTGTGTGCACGCTGATTTTATCTCAGCTTCATTCCTTTCTTGTGTTTCACTCAGCTCTTTTAGCTTTTTACTTGGTAATTTGTTAATTTATGCCCCACCTTGTTCCAAAAAGAATGTGTGAGGCATTTTCAGAAATACTCGCTACAAATCAAAATAAAATAGAAATAAATAAGACAGCTGGGTCAAAGGGAAAATAATGGTTGAACAAATACAGTGAAGTCAGGCGTGAGGCATGTAGTTTGGTAAACTTTGGCTCAAAGCCTTTTTGTTGCCTGCTTAGCTGTAAGGGAGGAATAATACCTCACAGCTTCTGCGTAGGTGGTCCATAATGTAGACCTAAATCAGAGGTCGAGAAGCACAAACATTCCCGGGAAAAAGACCATGGCGGTATTTCTAAAAGAGCTCTCATAAAGAGGACACTATTTAATGTAGTAAACAACAGTCTTAACAACTTCCTTATGGTGAATACTATAAGGAGGCACTTCATAGAGCTGTTTTAAAAATAATATCCCTGGTGTTTTGCTATTGGCCAATGGCAAAATGCCAGAGCATGAGACCATCAAAGCAGTTCTGTGATGGGACAAGATGAGGGCCCCTTGGTCTGTAGGTCCTTGAATCTATGAGTCAATCTAATGACAGCTCATGTAATGCCTAGGGCTATATGTCCCTTGGACAATCCTCCATAAATAGAGCTTCTCTTAACCAGGTTTTGATTACTGCTAAATGCTAGCAATGTCTCTTGTCAAGAACCTACATGAACATGTTTGCATGGCGGTGGCTGAGGCATGGGCTCCATTTAGCATGGTGGACCCCAAAGGAGGGGAGTTGGCCTGTGAGGGCTTTCACTGATTTATGGTAAAATGAGACCAAGGGTATTATGATGAGTTTTTCAAAAAGCTGATTTTTTTTTAAAAATTCAAGAATTGCCCTTTATTGAGATATTTTCCTTCTTATATCGTGAGTATTAAATCACCATTTATTTTTGAAATGATTGTGATAATAGAGAGGAAGGTAATCTGTTCTAGTTTTTCTGCTCAGTAAAATAATGTTTTGGAAAAATTTGTCCATGGAATGAAAAAAAAAAATCTCAGAAACGGTGCCTCTGCACGCATGTGAGAAGGGGCAGTCTGCCCATCCTCTTGTGGACTAGTCAGAGGAGGAAGGACCAGGGCTGCCTGCGGGCAGGGGTGGTGATCAGCACCAGGTGGGTCAGTCCATCATTTTAGCTCGGTGGTTTTTCCTGAGAATCTGTTTTTGTAGCTGTGCAGGAATGTGGTTTGGGGGAACTTCCAGGTCGCCTCTGGAAAGCCTGGTTTTATTCTTCTATTTATAAACAGATGAAAATCAGACAGAGCTGTCCTCCCGTTTTCCTCATGTGCTCACTCCATTCAGAAGCAGAATTAGAGGCGCAGGTGAGGAGGCACCCAGAGAAGTCAACTTGCAAAGTTAGTGAGTTTGGAGTTTAAGAAGAGCTTCGTTAAATCTCTACCTGAAGCCGTGCTTTGTGGGCACATGATACATGTCTTAATGTACATATGTGTTTAGCAGAGGAGATCCAACAATAAGGCGGTAATGCATGTGTTTCCCTGCAGCTACTGCATATAAAAAGCAACAAGTATCTGACCGTCAACAAGAGGTTGCCCGCTTTGCTGGAGAAGAATGCCATGCGCGTGTCCTTGGATGCCGCAGGAAATGAAGGGTCTTGGTTTTACATTCATCCCTTCTGGAAGCTGAGAAGCGAGGGTGACAATGTATGTAAATACAAAATTAAGAGAAAAACCATGCATTCATAAAGACAATAATTCTTATTAATTGAGAGAATTTATAAAATAAAAAGGGAATAGAATTTTCAGTCTTCCACATTTTATTTTCATACTAATATCTCTAATGGGTTAAAAGCATTTATTTGTAGTATAAATTGTGCTCAGGGATTATAAAAAAAGAAAATTCAAATTAACTTAATATCATTTTCCAGCTAGAGTTTATGTCAGGAAACTTAAGTTCCCTTAATAGTGGCCGAGCCTTAGGAGAGGGAGGTAGAGTTTGCTTCTCTGCCTAATCAGGAGGCAGCAGGGCTGTAAGAAGAAAGAGCTCTGTTTAGAAGACGGCACTTACTCACGTGAGCGAGTACAGTAACACAGTGAATCATGACAGTTCGTTGTTTACAGTCTGCACATGTTAACAGGTGTGTAAATACGAGGAGCTACAGACTGACCTCTGCTCATTGATGACATTAAACACATGTTGTGGAATATGTGCATATCGTGATATGTAAATTTTGGCAGCTGCTAAAATATTTCCTGCTACTTTACAGAGTAAATACAAAAGCATGTGAGATAATTCACTAGGGTTCATAGTAAGATACGTGTGTGTGTAATAAAGTAGCAGGCGCTAGACTGTGGCACAGGGGAGATGCCAAGTAAATGCCAGTGGATAGTGACTACTGCATCACCTTCCTAAATAGAATACCTTGCAAATATTGGGTCAGGCGATCCAGAAACATAGTTGAGGTTTTACAAAATGAGCATCATGAAGTCAGAACAATAAAAAAGTAGAATTATTCTGATAGTTTTCTCAATTGTGTTTTAAATGTGTTGGGTACTACTTGTCTTAGAAATGTCTTTTATGGTGAATCTGTTTTTCCAGTGAAGTTTGAAGTACAAAGTCTATTCCGCAGGATGCACACGTCCTGGTATAGTGTGTTAATAAATTATCTGGTGCTACCCTCCTTAGGTAAGGCCTGGGTGAAGCATGGCATGCAGGAATGTTACACACTTTAAGTCTTGTGTTGATCCCTCAAGAAAAAAAAGTCTTCCTTTTTTTTTTCTTCTTTTGTCATCAAGTGATGTGTGCTGTGAGCATGATACATGTTTTAATTTTAGTAGGTAGTTAATTACAATCAACTCTCCATTGCTTGGGGACTGCTTATGTTTATGAACAGCCTATGTCTTTGATGCCTTTTCTTGTGACGCTTGTCCCCCTCTCCAGCGCCCCGCTGAGCAGTGTCCAGTCTGTAGGAGGTTAATGAAAATTAAACACCAAAACACACAAAACCTGAGCTCAAGCTCTGAAGGAATCCCATGGAAATGGTTGGGCAAATCGGGCCATTAGATTAGCTGTAGGTTTGTTAATGCATTCTATCCTGTTTATTTATTTATTCTATCTCTTCCTTTCCCTGCGTCCACATGCCTTTACAGGGTCAACAGAGAGTTGAATGTAATGAACTATTTCAAGTAATTAGTGGTATTGGGGAAGTAAAAAACAAACTGCCACCCAAACACTCCATCTTAATTAAAATGGACATGGTAATTGTTAAGTGCAATAGAAATTCTTCTTACATAGATGTGCTCCGTAAAGCATGGCTAAGACAACCTTCCACATTGCTCTTTGCGAAATGGCTCACTGCTGTTGCTCACCATTGTGCAGCTTCTGTATGTGACTAAGGAGGCTGTGGAAGCGTAAGCTCAATCACAGCTCCGTATTTGCCACATCAGTAATTGTGCTGTATGCTTATTTTCTTCCCTAGCAACAGGCAGCATTTTTTTTTCTAAAGCCTACTGCGTTTTATTGGAGGTAAATGCAAAGACTATCACCTCGTAACAAATGGTTTAATATTTACTGATTTCCTTTAAAAGCATATTAAACTAAGAGGAGAACATTGCAAGGTTCAAAGGACCTATAAAATGATACGTTGTTATTTAGCAATTACTTTCAGGTTATAGGTAGCCAACAAGATGTTCGGTGACTGAAATGAAATGGAAGTATGAGTCTGGAAAGAAAAATGCTCATATCTTCAAAAATCAATGGTTCCTACCATTTGTCATATGTCTTAAAGAATTGTGGGATAGTTTTGGGGGAAAATAGATTCATGGATTTCTCAGCTTTCAGCTATGTAGAAGCCCTGGCTTGTGGTCACTGGGGACAACCTTGAGCAGAGTACATAAATATTTATTTTCATTTATCTTCCCATGATCGAGTAGTTAATTTTTCATTTTCAACTTTGACCTAAGAAGACATTAGTTCTTTACCGTGATGGTAGACTTTAAAGGTGAGAAAAGGACAGGTTTGTTTCAACAAGGAGAAAAATTCAACTTTTAGGGAAAGAGACTCTTCAAATAGCAAGTAGATTTTGCTGTTTTGCAAAACTGTATGCCCTGGATTGATAGCAAAAGCAGGACTAAAACTCTGACGTTTTTATTTTCTCTTGCAATGCTCTTTTCATGTACCAGAGGCCACTTCAAAGGAAGGGTAGCCGCTAATGGTATTACAATATTTTTCATTTACAGTCAATTCCCAGCTCGAATCTCACATGGCTGTTATGAAGAATCAACAGAAGTGCTTTTGGAATTGCAATTTTTTTTAGCTGTTTGTGCCTTTGAGTGAATGTGATGTGGCAAAAAATGACTTTGTCCTCAAGTTCTGTATTTAACGTGCAGCTTCTTAGAAGACACCTGGCTTCCATCGGTCAGGCCCCGAGCTGCATTGTTCTGAGAATATTACCCACTTACATATTTATCCAACTACCTAATTAGGCGTGTGTTCTTTGAGAATAGGAAATATTTCTTACCTTCTTCTGTATTCTTCCTGGCACCTCTTACTGTTCTTTTTATTTCTTGTGATTGGCATGTTGTCTGTTTCATTTCAAAGTGTTGTTCAGCTTGGCTAGTCAAAGGAATGAATCATCCGTCAGGAACATGACCGAGGACCTGGACATTGGTGAATTAATGTTGTATTATCCCTGTGAATACCATTCTTATGAAACCTTGGAGTTTGGAACATTTTGGCTATGGGGCTGGTCTGTTAAAATTGTATAAATCATTATGGGTGACACTTTGTAGCAAATATAACATATGGATTGGCTCAAAGCTTACAAACTAAACTATAGTAAAATAGTAAGACCAAAAATATTCTTTTAAATGGAAGGACATAGCTAAAAGTAAATCATTACATTTAGCAACTCAATGGCTAATATTTACTCTGGCTCTGACAGGAATGACGCTGTAAGCCAAACCCAGGTGTTCTGTTGGAAACTGGGGGAGCAGATGTCCCACCGGCAGGGTGTGGAATCAGGTCCTACCAGGTGCGGCGTGGAGGACTCTGGGCTGCCACACGCCTCTGAGACTCTGAGCTGCCTTGGTGTCATGTGCAATAAAAAGGTTTTTTTTATTTGATTGTTTATTCTTTTTGAGTAAAAAAGAATAAACAATCCTTTTTATTCTTTTGGAATAAAAGATGATGTTAGAAATATGTTTATGTCGTGTTGACTTTTATATGGTTTTATTTATACTTAATTTTTAAACATACTTGTCAATTCATGGTTTAAAAATAGAAAACGACATAAAGATATATCATGAGAAATCCCCTAGTTTTTTTTACCATTGCCCCAGTTCCCACCCCTTTTCCAGTTAACCACAAGAAGGATTCCGTATGCATATCCTGTTACTTCCTTCCTCCTTTTTTTTTTTTAACACAAAAGTAGCCCAGCTCTGCCCCTTTAACCTCTCACTTATCACTGTCTTTGTTGATCTTTCCTTATCTATATGTAGAGGGCTTCTATGGTGGGTCTTTGTGAATCACATCGTCTGATCGATGATGGACGTTAAAGGCAATGCTGGTGTATAGAAGCTGTTTCTGCAAACCCAAGAACAGCTTTCCTTTCCTCTACTAGTGAGTTTCAGGCTTTTCTGTCCTATTTCAATCTCCATATACATGATGACAGTATCATATGTGAATGTAGATGCCTCTATATAGTCTCTAAAAGGTTAATTTATATTGAAAATGTGAAATTATGTTTCTTAACATCTTGGTCTAGGTTAAGATACAGGGAGAAGTTCTGTTTATTGTTGTTGTCTAAGTCCTAATTTGTTTTTCAGTCATCTAATAAATAAAGTAATTTATTCTAACATTCAGTTGTTATGAAATATACAAAGGGAAGTTGTTTTCATTTCAGAGATGGTGAGCAAGTCTATAGATGAGAGTGCAGGTGATACATTAATACATCTTTAATGGAACTGAATAACAAAAGTAACTATTATCTATAAAATTAAACTATTCACTATTATCATTAAGAAAGCATAACTCAATTTCCCCACATTGAGTTATAAACAAAAGCACTTGAAGTTAGAGCTGATAATGATAGCATAAATAAAAAACCAACTTAGGCTTACTTCTCTGAGGCAGTTGTTCAAATAATGAATTTTAATTTTTTATTTAAATGTGAACACCCGGATCAAGGAGCAATATTAGTTAGAGATGTTTAGGGTAAAACTGAACCAGATGCCCAAGGCCCAAACAATAAACATAGTTCTACAAGGCCGTACCTAATTCTGCTTTCCCTGAATCCAGCTAATGTTTATTAAACATTTGAATGTTTAATAAATTTCTGAGATTATAGGTGAGATCAAATTTAGCAGATCTGTTTTTGATTTCAGAGAATATACAGATGTCTGTCATTATCTACGTCCACTTGAAGTGGTTCTGGGATTAAGGCAGATTGGTTTTTGTGGCACATGTCCTCCCCCCCTCTGCACCTGCTGGGCCCCCAGGGTCAGGCCACACGGGGAGGAATAATGACCTGTGCATCACTGTTAAGAAAGCTCTAACTGAAACGAGAGCCTGGTCAGAAGGGACCTCCACTAGCTTTATGAATTCAGACTGGTGGACACTATGGAACATGAGTATATGATCATTTATCAGAAGAATTTTGCCCCCAAGAGAAAAAGAATTGAACAAGAACTTGTGTGGAGGATAAACAGGCCAGGTGTTAGGTCCCTAGGGAAGACTTTTGTGTAGTTATTTTTAGCTTCAAAGTTAGCCCCAGTGATCCATGCAGTGTCTCAGATTGCAACGTGTCTCTGATTCCTAGATCGTCGTGGGAGACAAGGTCGTGCTGATGCCGGTGAATGCAGGGCAGCCGCTGCACGCGAGCAACATAGAGCTGCTGGATAACCCGGGGTGTAAGGAGGTAAGTTCGGGAGGGAAGGAGACGAATGGGCTGATCTCCCCATGCGAGGAAAAAGAACGTTTATAGTTTCTCTCATTGTTTTCATAAGTTTAATGCCAGTTATGCTAGCTAATACTCATAAGGCACAAATAGATAATGATGAGTTATTGTTATTTTTAGATGGTCCTCTGGATATATTTGTATTGAAGGACATACTTCATTGTCCCAAGCTGTCTTTTTTTCTCTTTTACTAGTTGAAGTAATAATTTCTGGTATAACATGGAATCTGTTGTCTTATAATTTCACATTTCTTCATTAATAGGTGAATGCTGTTAATTGCAACACTAGCTGGAAAATCACTTTGTTCATGAAATATAGTTCCTATCGAGAAGATGTGCTGAAAGGAGTAAGTGTGTGCGACGCCAAACATTTGCTGGAAGAGTGAAGGCAGTTTTACTGACCTTGCAGATGCAAAACCTGTGTGTTCCCTGGTGTTCGTTGTTTAGAGCAGTGATTTTCAACCAGTGCGCCACAAGAAGCAAACATGCAGTACCTGACTGTTTAGTCAGGGGCACCGACCTCTTTTCCCTTAGACTGTCGCATAACAAACAACAGCGGCCAACACAATAATTGCTGTCTGGCATATACCAATCAAAATTTTATCTTTTGTCGTTAAAATTAATGTTTTATTTTTTGTCATATTAGCAAAAAATAAAACATTTTTTGGTGTGCTACAGTATTTTAGCAGTTAGTTTATGTGTGCCATGAGATGAGAATAGCTGGTTTAGAGTGACTGTTAACCTATAAACCTAGAATGTGACTGTGTGCTCACCAGGAGTGTTTCTTTGAGTTTCCCCTTTTTTATTTTGAAATGTATAAATAATCATTAAAAGCCAAGTAGAGTATCAAAACTCTAAATATACGCCTGTTTCCTGTGTCTTATGGTCAGATTTTTCTTGGAAACAGTTTTCTCGACTCGGTTTTCTAGGGTGACGTGGTCAGATTGTTTCACGCAGAGCAGGAGAAGTTTCTCACCTGTGATGAGTATGAGAAAAAGCAGCACATCTTCCTTCGCACAACCTTGCGTCAGTCGGCCACTTCTGCGACCAGTTCTAAAGCACTCTGGGAAATAGAGGTGTGTAAAGTATTATTTCACTTTTAATAAATACTTATATCAATAAGATTCAGTTGGCTGATTTATTGTTAGAGGCTTTATGGTAGACCAATGAAACAATAATGTTTGTGAACTGACTTGCACCTCTTCATTGCTGTGACCAGTGAAGTGTTATTACTTCCTTTACTTAGCTTCCCTGGGGCATCTCCCTTTTTCTGTCTTGTTTAATTTGGGCCTCCATAGGGTTTTGCTGTTCAAAAATCCATTGTGAAATGTTTGTTGTCAAGATCGGTAAGACTGATGGCCCTGTGCCTCACCCGCACTGGAGTTACGATGGAGCAGGATGACTCACCCTAAGTGAACATCAGAGCTCCAGTCACTGCCAAGGCCACTTAGCTCTTCTGAGGACACTGCTTGTTTGCACTGGGGTGAGGAAATCCATGGCTTACAATTCATTCCATCTTGGAAAAGCATTTTTAAAAAGATGTTATTTATTTACTTTTAGAGAGAGTGGAAGGAAGGGAGAGAAACATCAGTGTGCGAGAGATGCATTGATCTCTGTTGGGGCCTTGTGCACGCCCCCTGCTGGGGACCTGGCCGCAACCCAGGCAAGTGCCCTGGCTGGGAATTGAACTGGTGACCTTTCAGTTTGAAGACCAGCAGTTAATTTAATTCACTGAGCCACACCAGCCAGGGCTGAAAAGTATTTTTAAATATTCTTATATGGTAGAGTAATTAGGAAAATGTAAGATACTGGTTTTTGTTTAAAGAACCTTTTATTACAGGGGGGGAGATAAGGTATGTGTAGTCACCTCTAAACAAGCCACCATCTGATAAATTCCATCTTGATGTAATGGACACCCAAGCTTATCTAGAGGTTCTCAACCACTTCAAACCCATCACACCCCTTTACAGTATATGTTCCCTACTACATTCTTTAACATCCTGAAAAGAATTTCATAGGTAATATTATCTATACAGTCTCATGTTTAAAAATTAATAAGATGCCAGATTCTAACAGAAAGAAGAAATAAAAGGAAAATAATTTATAATGAAATAATATGTATTTCAACATGTCAATATCTACCCTAGAAGATATTATTTATGCCTGCCTTTGGTGGGTACATTTGGATAGGAGAGAAGTGGTAAGTGAGCAGGATAAGACAACATTCTATGAGTACTGGAAAAAGAAAGAGCACTGGGAAACGTGGACCCTAAATTATCTCGCATGAGGAGAAGTAATGACAGAACAGACGTACCTGTACATGGTCAAAAAAAGAGGGAAATAACCATAATTCAAATAGGGGTAATAACACTAATTACAGACTATTGAAACAGAAAATGAAGAAGTATGATGTTTATGCAAATGAACTGAGCCTTAATTATAACTGTAACATCAAAATAATTCTCTAAGTTATGACATGGCTTGTAATAGAAATGAAATAGCACAGAGAACACATTCTCTATCTGGAAACCCAGTGCGTGTGGAGACGTACTTGCAGTCTGCGGCATTCGGGAGAGACCGTACCCTTCCCGGCGTTGGGGAGTCGAGACGGTCTTGGGGAAGCAGCTGTCACCCAAGGATTCCCCCTGGCAACTTCTCTCATCATGACGAGACTGAACGAGAAGTGGCCTAAAAATAAATTCATAATTAAAATATTCATTGTAACACCATAAATTTATCATTGTGCTCCAAAAATTTTTAAAAAATACAGGGGTAGCAGTAATGTGAGATAGTATTTGAGACTTTATTAAGGAAACACAGTGATGAAAAGGTCAGAGAATGACTTCCTTACCCATGGGTTTTCTGCATTTAATGTGTCTCTGCCTGTTTGATGTTTGGCTCTAAATTTGTTAAAAGGCATTTTGAATCTTCTAATATATTTGCTATTAGTTTCATAGTATTTGCTGTAACTGTACCACTGCACACGGAAATCCATTTCAACAAAACGCATAATTGGAAATGCTCTAACCCACTGAGCACTCAATAATTTTGAGATGTCTTGAATTTATTCAAGCTTCTCTCTTCATAGTGTATTTCTCTTAAATTATTGCACTGTTCCTATAGTGTGATGTAAAACTTTTTAGTATGATTATGTATCAAAGTATTATCAACTTACATTTGTGGTAGGTTTCTTTCTGTAGGAGATTTGAAAGAGGTAGGCTGTGACACATTCCTCTGTTGTAAGCTGTATCATTCAGGAAGCCTGAGCATCAGGTATTTCAAGAAAAGAGGTATTTAATATAGGAAATTAAGTTTCCATGCTATTGGAAGGACTGAATGGGGAAGACTGGGGTGGGGAGGAGTGGTCTAATCTGAAGATCTGGTAGTGCAGCAGCTCATCCTGTGAGCCTGCAGGCTTCTCCTACTGTGCTTCAGGAGTCCCCACCCACCCCGCCCAGCAGGAGCTGGCACCCCACCTTTTTAGGAGCTTGCACCCAGCAGCTGCCGCCATTTTTCCTAGAGCCAGAAGAGGAGCCTCTCATCTATTCTGCTTTCCATTCTCATGGGATGTCTCCAGAACCTGACCAGCCAGGCTTCCAGCCCCTGGAATACAGGAAAGCAGAGAAGGGTGGAGAGAGGGGTGGCCCTGAGTGCCGCACGTAAGAACTAGCACATGCTGAACCCTCCTGTGAACTGCAGGCTGTGTCATATCTTGGCCACTGCCCGTTAATGCAAAGGGCACCCCTCCGGAGTCACTGTGATAAATGATAACGTCTGCTTTTCTGTATGTCTATATCATTCCCTGGGGAGCTGTGCTACCATGGCTAGACTGACTGATGTGTAGGATAGCTCTAAGCCTGGCATCAGTGGTGATCTTCCAGTTATTTGTTAACCCGTAAGAGTTGTATACCAAATATGTGTGTGTGTACATGAGAAAACCAATAGATTTGTCAGATTCTCAAAGGTATCTATGACTTCCCCAAGGGAATGATAGTTCACACACTGACAAGGTCACAATTACTGGTGTGATTAGCAAAGGATTTATGAAAGAAGTTTGATTTGATAACTGAGCCTTGTAGGATGGCAGGTTTGGGCTATAGGAGGAGCAGTTTTAAAGACTTCATCCAGCCCTGGTGGTAGCTCAGTTGGCTGGAGCATCATCCCGATACACTAAGGTTGGGGGTTCGATCCCCAGTCAGGGCACATATAAGAATTAACCAGTGAATGCATAAATAAATGGAACAACAAATCAATGAATGTTTCTTTCTCTCTCTCTCCCAAAAATCAGTAAATAAAAAAATAAAGACTTTATCCACTTAGAAGTATTTTCATAATTGTTATTTTATTTAAGCTGTTGGAGGAGTGGAAAACATAGAAGCTGGAGTCTAAGGAAAGGCATTAGAAAGTTATGTATTAGCACACAGAACTTGAGCCTGGGGTGGGAGTCCAGAAGTGGTCAGTATTAGTATTTGTCAGTATTAATATTTGTTGAGTGAGAACAATGAAAAGTTTTCTTAGCATTCTGATATGCCTTATGATATTTAATCTTTACAGTAATCCTATGAATAAATCCATTCTATTTTTATTTTTTAAATTATATTTTATTGATTATGCTATTGCAGTTGTCCTGATTTTTCCCCCCTTGCCTTACTCCACCCAGCAATTCCTATTCTTTCAGGCAATCCCCCCAGCATCGTTCATGTCCATGGGTCACACGTGTAAGTTCTTTGGCTACTTCCCTTCCTACACTGTACTTTACATCCCATGGCTGTTCTGTAACTACCTATTTGTACTTCTTAATCTCCTCGCCTCTTCACCAATTCTCACCACCCCCCTCCCATTTCACCTTCTGGTAACTAATTTCTTTTCTCCTTTTTTTTTTTTTTTTTAATATAATTTTTTTATTGATTATGCCATTACATTTGCTCTATTCCCCCCTCCCTTCCCCTCCACCCTGCATACCCCTCCCCCACCATTTCCCCCTTTAGTTCATGAACATGTGTCTCAATTTCTTTAGATTCTGTATTTCCCCTACTATTCTTACCCTCCCCCTATGTATTTTCTATCTACTATCTATGCTACTTATTTTCTGTACCTTCTCCCCCCTTCCCCTCCTCCCACTCCCCTATTGCTAACCCTCCCTGAGATCTTCATTTCTCTGGTTCTGCTCCTGATCTAGCTATCCTCTTAGTTTGCTTTTGTTTTAGGTGTGGTTCTTAATAACTGTGAGTTTGCTGTCCTTTCACTGTTCGTCTTTTTTATCTTCTTTTTCTTAGGTAAGTCCCTTTAACATTTCATATAATAAGGGTTTGGTGATGATGAACTCCTTGAATTTGGTCTTATCTGAGAAGCACTTTATCTGTCCTTCCATTCTAAATGAAAGTTTTGCTGGATAGAGCAATCTTGGATGTAGGTCTTTGGATTTCATAACTTGGAATACCTCTTTCCAGCCCCTTCTTGCCTGTAAGGTCTCTTTTGAGAAATCAGCTGACAGTCTGATGGGAACTCCTTTGTAGGTGACTGTCCCCTTAGCTCTTGCTGCTTCTAAGATTCTCTCCTTCATTTTAATCTTGGCTAATGTAATTATGATGTGCCTTGGTGTGTTCCTTCTTGAGTCCAACTTCTTTGGGACTCTCTGAGCTTCCTGGATTTCTCGGAAGTCTATTTCCTTTGCCATCTTGGGGAAATTCTCCTTTATTATTTGTTCAAATAATTTTTCAACTGGTGGTTGTGCCTTTCCCCCTTCTGGTACCCCTATAATTCGGATGTTGGAACATTTAAAGATGTCCTGGAGGTTCCTAATCTTCTCCTCATTTTTCTGAATTCTTATTTCTTCATTCCTTTCTGTTTGACCATTTTTTTCTTCCTTCTGGTTCTCTCCCTTGATTTGAGTCCCAATTTTCTTTCCATTACTATTGGAATCTTTTGTATCCCCATTCATTTCAATTAATTTAGCTTCCATATGTTTCTCTAATTTGTGGCTAAAGTCAACCAGTTCTGTAAGGATCTTTATAACCAGTGTTTTGAACTGTGCATCTGAAAGACTGGCTATTTCTTCATCGCTTAGATCTATCGGTTCTGGGGCTCTAAGTTGTCCTAGAGCCATTTTTGGTCTGTTCGCGCTGTTAAGTGAGCGGAGCGAAGCCTTAGTTGTTTCCAGGACGGGGCGACCCAGGTCGCTGGTTTGTGACGCTTTGTGGGGGCGGGGGTCAGAGAGGGAGCAATGGCGTTCCTCTCCGCTAGCCCAGCGTTTCCAGTCACTCCGCAGGCATGGGGTTTATCCGATCGGTATTGCGCCGGCTTCCCTTCTCACTGGCTTCTCTGCACGTAAATGCGCGCGACTGAGCGACCCACAGCGCCCCTTCTTTGTGCGCTCCGGCAGCCAGCTCGCTCGCAATCGCGCCCTCGGTTCCCTGCGCGAACCGCGCACCGCCCCGGGAATTTTTTGCTAACGTGCTCCGCTGCTGGCCTGGCTCCTCGTACCGGTCCAGCCGAGTATCTAGTTGTCCTTTGGACTCCGTATTGTCGATTTTCCGTGTGGCTTGGTTGTGACTGCTGTTAAAAATAGTTGTTCTTAGATTTGGTTGTGCACAGAGGCGAGGTGGACCCTCCACCTACTTCTCCATCTTGGCGGAAGTCCTCTTTTCTCCTTTTTTAAGAGTTACTCTAATCTTTAACCCTTGGCATTTTAATAATGATGTGTCTTGGAGTGGGCTTCTTTGTGTCCATCATAATTGGGACTCTCTGAGCTTCCTGGACTTGTATGTCTATTTCCTTCACCAAAATTAGGGAAGTTTTTTTTTCTTTTTCTTTTGAGATAGATTTCCAATTTGTTGCTCTTTCTTTTCTCCTCTGTATCCCTATGAGGCAAAAATGTTGGTCCTCTTAAAGTTGTCCCAGAGGCTGTTTATACTATCCTCAATAAATTCATTTTATATGTGAAGAAATGGGTTTGAAGATGTTAAATTATTTGCTGTGATTATACCATAGCAGTTGGAAGGGCTGGGACTTACACACCGTCATCTTCAGGCTATAGAACCTGATTCTTGCTACTGTACCAAGCCACCATCATAACCACTTGTCAAAGCTTCAGCTTTTATTCTCCATGAGCCTCATGGCTCAGTACCTAGAGAAGGCCAGTTCCAAGGACAGGATCAAAGGACATGGTGTCAGTCATAAATACACAAGGGAAGAGCCTGGAATTGACTATAATGGTAATATTTGACAGAGGAAGCAAACACATACAATGGGATATAGACAATTTATTTAATAAACGGTGTTGGGAAAATTGAACAGATACATGCAGAAAAATGAAACTAGACCACCTTCTCACATCACACACAAAAATAAATTCAAATGGATCAAAGACTTACATGTTAACCTGAAACCATAAAAATCCTAGAAGAAAATATAGACAGCAAAATCTCTGATATTGCTTATAGCAGTTTTTTATCGGGTATATCTCCCCAGGCAAAGGACACAAAAGAAAAAATAAACACATGGGACTACATCAAACTAAAAAGTTGTGTAGCAAAGGAAATCATCAACAAAATAAAAAGATAACACACAGAATGGGAGAATACATTCCCCGATACATCTGATAAGGGGTTAGTATCCAAAACTTATAAAGTACTTACAAAATTCAACACCCAAAATACATCCCAATTAAAAGATGGGCAAAGGACCTGAATAGACACTTCTCTAAAGAAGACATACAGATGACCAATAGACATATGAAAAGATGCTCACTGTCACTAATTATCAGAGAAATACAAATTAAAACCACAATGAGAAACCATCTCACATGTGTCAGAAAGGCTGTCATCAATAAATCAACAAACAACAAGTGGTGGTGAGGATGTGGAGAAAGGGGAACATTTTTGCACTGTTGTCGGGAAGGCAGACTGGTGCAGCCACTGTGGAAAGCAGTATGGAGGAACCTCAAAAAATTAAAAATGGATCTGCCTTTTGACCCAGTGACCCCACTTCTGGGAACATATCCAAAGGAACCCAAAACTCTAATTTGGAAGAACATAAGCACTCCTGCGTTCACTGCAGTGTTATTTACAATCACCAAAATATGGAAGCAGTCCACGTGTCTATCAGTAGATGAATGAATAAAACTACCATGGGACATTTACACAGTGGAATACTCCTCAACCATAAAAAAGAAAATTTTACCCATTGTAGCAGTATAGATGGACCTGGAGAACATTATGCTAAGTGAAATAAGCCAGTCAGAGACCTACAAATAACATATGATTTTACTCATGTAGAATCTAATGAACAAACTGATACAACAAGCAAAACAGACAGATTCATAGATGGAGAGCAGATGACAACTAGTTTTGGGGGAGGAGGGATCAAGAAAAAGGCAAAAATTCATGGACAACAGTATGGTGATTGCTCTAGGGAGAAAGGTATAAGGGGACTAAATAATAATGGAGAATATACAATACAGATTAAATTTAAAAAAAAAGAAAAAGGAAAAAGGAAGGGCCATGAGTTAAGTTAGTCCAGATCTCCAGGCCTGGACATTTGTGGTTCTCTTTGCCCGGAACTATCTCTTTCAATCTCTTTGCATGGTTGTCTCATTATTATTTTTTAAAATTATTTATTTATTTATCTTTAGAGGGGAAGGGAAGGAGAGAGGGACAGAAATATCAATGTATGGTTGCCTTTCGTGCATCCCCTGCTGGGAACTGGCCTGCAACCCAGGCATGTGCCCTGACGGGAAATCCAACCATGATCCTTTGCTTTGCAGGCCCACAGTCAGTCCACTGAGCTATGCCAGCCAGGGTGGCTGTCTCATTCTTATCATCTGGGTTTTAGCTCACATACCATGTCCTCATACTGTGGGTGTATGTATTGTCATATGCTGATTGTCATGTCTGAGGTAGCCTTCCCTAGTTCCTCAATCATGCCCTCTGTGTACAGTTTCCTGGCACTTGCCAAATCTTATTCATTGAAAGCTGGAATCTTATTTATTGCTGTGTCCCTATTGTATAGAAGACTACCTACTGTATTGTAGGTTTTAAGTGCTGTCTGTTAAATGACTGCGTGAATAACAAATGGGGGGAACTTCACCACATTCCCAGTTTGGGCCTGGAAAAATGTCTTTTGGAACAGGGCTGTATTTGGAGCTCTGAGGCTTGAGCATCACACATGCACAGTGAGTTTACTGTTATGCCCTGTGCTCCTTTATGGGAATTTTGTTTTCCTGCCTTACTGTCCTCTCACAGAAACATATTAGATTTGACAAGTTAGCATTTACAGGTGGGCACCCCGTATAAACTGTTGGTGTTGGCTTGCCGGGTAGATGAATATCCTTTAGCCATTGTTGTTGTTGCTCTTTGTGTCTGTAGGTGGTTCATCACGACCCATGCCGCGGGGGTGCAGGACAGTGGAACAGCTTGTTCAGATTTAAGCATCTTGCAACTGGAAACTATTTAGCGGCAGAGGTAAGACTGATGAATGCAGTGCTATTAAATTTCTGACTGTGAAGTAGTGAAATAGACAATTAGGTTTTCTAAAGAGTATTATATTTCTAGGAGCAAATACCAATTAGGAACATTATACAAATTTCATGATTGCCTATTATGTTCTGGGTACACAGATACATTTTTCTTAAAATGTAAATATTAACTGAAGCCTTAAAATAATCTTTGTCTTAAAAGTAGACAACAGCAGAACCCTGGAGGCTGGTTTACTGCAAGGTCCTCACATTCTCCATGGAGTGTCACTCTTGCATAATGTCTGCATTGGAGAGCGGATCAGTCCACCATTGTAATAGAGTCCAGGTAGTTTTAGGTTCCTCTTCAGTGGCCAGTCTTTCACTGTTGGGGGGGCTTTCATTGTTCAGACCACTGGAGAGGAAAGGGTTTTCCTCCTGAAACCACAGGCCTGACCGAAAAACTCAAAAAAAAAAAATGCTAAAAACATGTAAAGTCTTTCCCTTCTCCACCAAAAGCATGTTGACTATACATACATATATATATATATATATATATATATATATATATATATATATGTATATACATACATATATATATGTATGGTTTCTATTTTTTAACTTAAAGTTTATTCTGGGATTTGCCACCAGAATTTGGTCTTCGAATTTTTAGTGTAACTTATCTAACTTCAGTTTTGGATGTGAGAGAGGGTAAGGAGGTGGGTATGGGAACAGAGGAGAAAAAGCTGTGGGACACAGGGAACCCCTATAAACACGCTGGCCCCTGTCCACGTTAGCACCCAGCCCCATGACTCTCTCCATCCTATTCATCTGGGGTAGTTTTCTTCGTAGTGTTAACCACTATCTGATTTATTGTGCATTTTATATTATGCATGCATATTATATTTCTTTGTCAGAATGTATGTTCTCTTAAGTCAGGGATTTCTTTCTTCTTTTTAAACATCACCACTGTTTCCTTGGAATCTAAGATAGTGCCTGGAACTTAGAAAGCATTTGATGAATATTCTTGGAATGAATGAAGCAATACAAAGGAGTTATTCAGATTTCTACAAGCTTAAAGGATGGGAAGAAGAGTGTAGGGATTTGTATCTGAGAGACATTTGGAAACATATTTGGGCAAATTAATTTCTGTAAGCTTTAATATCCTCCACTGGACAGGAGGGATGATCACAATATTTGTATAATAAGATTATTAAGAGAATTAAATGAGGTAAAGTCTTGACATAGTGCATGGCTCAGGGTAAACACCCAGTAAGTTATGCCAGCGTGATTAATTTTATTATATGATAAATAGGGATTGTTTCTACTTTTACAAATACTTGACTCATTATTTATGAATCTGCTCAACAAAAGGAAATACTGCTTTGTAATTTGTGGGCTGCTTACACTGTTAATGTTTTGAAGGATTTTTAAAAGTAACCCTTGGAAGCAGAATTAAGTAGTGAGGTAGAAAATTTTGTCTAAAGTAAAAACTGGAAAAGTCTGTTAGATGTCTTATAAAAGATAAATTAGGATTAAAATTCTCTTGGCTCTTATGTTAGTGGTTATTTTTCTTAACTCACTTTTTAATCAGTGGCTATTTAGCTACTTATGTCTAGAAAAATGATATAATTACACATTGTTAGTTTTCCTTATTAATTTCAGTAATTAAATCTTGCATGATTTGATACAAATGATTAGATTATTAATAATTAAATTGTTTATTAACTTTAATGAAGATCCATGACTTTAATACATAAATGAATTCACTGAAAAATGAAAAGTAGAAAATTGAAAAGGTAAAGTTCATACCTTTAAAAGAATTTGAGAGGCCATCTTTTCATTGTATATCTAGGGAACACGACTTTAAACATCAAATGCTATTTTGTCCATGAAAGGGTCTGGTGTGTTTATAGAATATCTTCTTTGACCTCTAATACTACTTGAGATAACATCTTTTTTTATGGCAAGGTGTAAGAAGGAAAATAAAACACTAAGTATATATTGGAAAACTGAAAGCTAAGCATCTACTTTCTACTACTTTTAACCAGTATAACGGAATGGTTGCTTCTGTGTGGTATTTCGGTATCAGTAGAGAAACTGTAGTTTCGAAACGTTGACATCATTAGTTGTGGTTTCACACTTCATATGTCAGCTCCATCCGGGCAAGATCCCAGCACAGCCATCTCCCTGGTGCTTGTCCTGCTGGTGTGCAAGCATCCATGGGTGTGGCCAGGTCACCGTGATCATCGTCACTGTCACTTGATAAAACACTGATTTTCAATTCCGATTCCACAACAGGCGGAAATTAGTCTGTGACAGTGGAAAAACAGTGATTAACCTGTTATCATTTTGCTTTTTAAAAGTGCCAGGTTTTTTATTTCAAAGCACTGTTCCCATCACTGAGGTAGAGCAGGGAGTTCCCCCAGCATTGTGAGCTGTAGCTTTCTAGCAGTATTTGTTTTATTACGTTGTACTGTTCTTCATACGAGAGGAAAAGTTCTATGGCTTTTCTTTATTTTACTTTTCAGTTTTATTTTAATATCTAGATACCACTTAAAAGATAAGACACATATTAGGGTAGTGAAAAGGCAAGAGTTAGGAGTAATTATTTTGAAACGTATAGAAATAGCAAACATGAAACCTTTGAGATTTCATACATGTTTTAATGTGTCTTTTAAGTGTCTGATAAATGCACAGTCCAGCAGAGAATACTGCGGTAGGGGAGGAAGCAGAGCAGTCAGCCTTTGCCCTTAAAGAATTGACTATCTAGCTCAGGAGACAGCAGACAAGAAATGACACAGGATAATTGGCAGGCGAGGTCCCGTAGGGCTGCTGGTGTGTGCAGGTGGCATTGGGTTAGTGTCAGATTTGCTGAGGAAGGCTCCTGGTTGGGCTCAACATTTCCAGGGGTCTCAAAGAAAGTTATAGACCTAGGTTGGTAGAGAAATAAAAGGACAATCCTTGTAGAAATTGCCAAGGAGACACAGAGAGAGATGTGGAATGTCTAAATCATGTGTAGACAATATAAAAAGAGAGGCCAGCTGAAAGGAAAGGGTTCTAAATGGAATTATTGAGCAACAGATCCCTTTGCTTGAAGATCTTGAATGAAGGGTTTGAGTGCGATCTAATTTGTAACAGGAATGAAGTTTGAAGTTGATCCTGGTCGCTATCTTTGAAGTTGAGTCTGGACAGCTATTTGGAAACATTTGGTAGATACCCGTGATGTCATTAGAGAAATCTGATTCCGCCCTTGAGGCGAAATAACCGTGTTGTGGCAACACGAACCACGGTGGGCTCCCGGAGAGCGTGACAGTACAGCACACGTTTGGTAGAGTGCCCGGGAGGGACGGGGGCTGGCAGGGGGGCCAGTGGAGGACCTACCTGATGGAGGAGTAGGGCAGACGGGGAAGACAGAGGAAGTGTGTTCAGGGAAGGAGGAGTGGAGTGTTGTACAAACTCATTTCATACGTGTGACACATATGTGTATCCCGTATAGGACGTGTGTGAGTTCGAAAGCATTGGTGGAAGGTGCAAGGGGAGTGGTGGGCCCACACAGGTAGGGCAGCTGACTTTTTCAGGACCCATATGTTAAGCTAAGGAGAATGGGTCTATCTTGAAAGAGCTGTGTTCCAAATAAATCTTTGTTTAAAGAAGAACACTCCAGAATCACACTGTCCAAGATGGTAATCACTAGCCCCATGGTGGCTATTTAAATTAAAATAAGTATTATTAAAATGTAACAAAATCGAAAGTCAGTTTCTTAGTCACATTTCAGGTTGCTCAGTAAGTAGCACACGGTGTCAGACAGTGTGGACGGAGAACATTTCTGTCACCACAGGGACAGTGATGCCTGGAATGTTTGTGAAGCAACTGTAAGGATTGGGTTTAGAGGCAGAAAAGCCAGATAGGAGACAAAGGTATGATACCTTTAAGGAATTTTGAGGACTTGAACCAGGATGAGATCATTAAGGACTTTGAACAGAGTGAAGTGATAAGGTTTCTGAAGAGGAACCGCAGGAAACACCCTCTTTGAAGGGCAAAAGACTGGAAGCCTGGGAAGTCAGATAAACGCCTGGAGAGCCAGATGGGCTAAATCCCAAATGCAAGCAAGGGAAGACAAGAGTTTCAAAGAGGAGTATTGTCAGAAAGGTTAGGAACTACATGTATGGACAACATTGGGCAAGAACATGGTCTTTTGTGGCTTCATTGAGATAATTTTTAGTGGAAGCCAGAATGTAGGGAACTAGCAAATGGACGTGAGTGTAGACTGAGTTTTTATACCATGGCTGTGAAAAGGGAGAAATCGAGTTAATAAAGGGAAAGTAAGAGTGCTATTACACAGGTTTTCGTGAAGTCTATTTAAAAAATCAGATGGATGAAAAGGGAGCTGATTTTCTATTACAGGAAGATGCCGATCAGATGGGCAGGATTTGCCGGTGTCTTACTGTTTTCACCCAGCCTTTCCACTCAAATGTGCATGTTTATCGTTTGAAATATTACCTGATGTGCTTGAGGTGTTCCTGCTAAGTTGGATCATGTATTCTTGAACGGCCTTTGAGTTTGTGGTGTCTGTATTGGCTCAGGTGGCAAAGAGAGCCTAGTGCAGTGGGGTAGAAAGAACCTCATGGGCACTGCTCACACTCTCTGACTTGAAGCAAGTACTTCAGCTCTTTGAACCTCAGTTCCCTTGTGTGCACAAAAGTGGCACTAGATGTTATATTGGGTCACTTTGGAATGAAAAAAGGGAATGTTCTGCACCTTGCACATAAAAGCAATTCATTAAGTGTTAAGTACCTTTACTTTCCTTGACAGAAAGGGGAGAGAAAATGCTAGGTAGTGCATTGTTATGCAGAACAGGTATTTCTTTGCCAATCAGATGACTAATAAAGGGTGGGGGTATTTTAGTGGCTCACCACTTTATGCTTTGTGCCTAGACTGGTGCCTGCTATCTAATTTACATTCAGTAAATACTGGATAATAGAGGGGACGAATATAGACACTAGAGGT